AAAAATTAATTTAAGTATGCAACTTATTCATAATTCAAAACTAACAAATAGTTCAAAATACATATCCAACTCGACAACTAACACACAAAAGCTAGCAAAAGAAAATGAAAATCTTTTTGAAATGTTTAATTTATATATATATATATATATATATATATCATAAATCAGTAAACTCTAATATCACACAATCATACAAAAACAATAATAACTCAATGTTTTCAACCCCAAATTTAAATCAGAAACTACCTTTAATGTCTTAAAACATCATCAAATAAGTAAAATAGAAGGACAAAAAAGGGAATAAGAGATTCCCTAAATATGTTTGAATTTGTAGGCTAATTTGGAACGAATTTGTCGGAGCAAGATAGTCCACTTTGCTACATTCTTTCCTTTGTTCATTGTTAGTTTGTGCATTTTCAATTGTTACGTTCCTACAAAATAAAGAGAAATTAATCATTAATAATGTCGAACAATTCATATTAAACTCAAATCCTTCGCAATCTATAGGACAATAAAGGGATGAAGATTCCTAAACTACTACCTAGAATACAAAAGCAATAAAAACTACCTACTCTAATATATAGAAAGCATAATAAATAAAATGGAAGAAATTTAGCTTTTTTTCAGTAAGCACTTATTTATAGTTATTAGCATGACTTTGACAAGAAATTTTTGATACTTCTCTTACTCTACTTCTTTTGACTTTGCTCGAATTTTCATTTGTTCTAAGAACCTCCATCTTGCCTCTTCAATGTAATATGACTTTAATCCATAGATTAAAGTTCAACTATGTAGACCCATGTCTCGTTATCAGGTTTAGTCACAAAGTCAATTGTTGGACAATTAATAAAGTCGAAATAATATGTTTTACTTCCATCTTAATTAATTGTTATTTCTTTGTAATTAATTTGTCATCTTTTTCATACCCTTCTTCAGACTTGTCATGTACATGTTTTTGAAATCATAAATATTGTTTAAACCTCAGAAGTTTTGACTTAAGGAAACCAGTATATGTATACAAACAGTGCCTAGTATAATGCACCCCTTAGCAAAGTTCACAATACATATCACTTATAAACATATCATTGTTATCAATGTTGGGATTAATCATTACAAAACTTTTGCCACTTTTCTATCGTTAGAATCATGAATGCATTGCTGAATAGTATATGGAAAGAAAACCAAATGCAAGAGACATCGGGATTTTGGTGGATAGCCAAAAATAATAAAATAAATTTTGAGTCTAATGACAAATCAATAAATTTAGTTTAAAAATTTTATTACCCCAACAATAGTGTCATAAACTTGTTCGCTTAAAAAGAAAGTGTACGAGATCATTGACAAGTAATAATATGGTGAGAAAACTATCTTTCCATGAAGAATAAACCTTAGTTTAATTGTATTAATCCTTTATCAAATTTGAATGGAGAGTAGTGAAAGATATTTATGTTTATTTTGTTAAGAAATATAGAATTATTTATTAATTATTAAGGGTAGAATAGTCCTTTTTAGTTTCCTTTGTTTAGCCTATATATATTCTCTTTGTATTTAGGTTAAACCATCTTTTAACATTCAATTAATTAATGTAGTATCAATGAAACCCTAGCCTCCTCCTTTTTTCTTTATTTTTCTTTTGGATTGTTTAACATGGTGTCAGAGCTAGATTTCATGGGACAAAACTTAATATCAAACACAGCTTTCGCGGATCCAACTGGTATTTCTGCAATCTGTTAAATCTGGTATTTTCGCAATCTGTTATTTCTGCAATTTGATATTTTTGGAATCTGTTATTTTTTTTATTATGGCTACTGAAAGAGACTATTCCCTTCAGTCTGTTAATGTGAGGTTGGATGGAAAGAATTATTCGTATTGGAGTTACGTGATGAGAAATTTTCTTAAGGGTAAAAAGATGTGGGGATTCATTAGTGGAACTTCTGTGAAACCTGAGAATACCAATGAGGGTTATGCTGCTTTAATAGATGCTTGGGAAACAAACAATTCAAAAATTATTACTTGGATTAACAACTCTGTGGAGCATTTCATAGGTAGAGAGTTGGCGAAGTATGAGACAGCAAAGGAGGTTTGGGATCATCTGCAAAGATTATTCACTTAGTCAAATTTTGGAAAGCAGTATCAATTGGAGAATGATATGCGAGCTCTTCATCAGAATAATATGAGTATTCAGGAATTTTATTCTGCTATGACAGATCTTTGGGATCAATTAGCCCTTACAGAATCGACAGAATTAAAGGCATGTGCTGCCTATATTACTCATAGAGAGCAGCAACGGTTGGTACAATTTTTAATGGCACTTCGCAGTTATTTTGAAGGACTCAGAGGTTCAATTTTGCATCGTTCTCCACTTCCTTCTGTTGACTCAGTTGTCAGTGAGTTATTCGCTGAAGAAATACGTCTTAAGTCTTATTCTGAAAATGGAATTCTTTCTGCTTCTAAGCCTTCTGTATTAGCAGTATCTTCTAAGCCATCCTCTAATAATCAAAATAAGCCTTACACAAGGGTTGCCTTTGACGAGTGCAGTTTCTGTAAGCATAAAGGTCATTGGAAGGCTCAGTGTTCTAAGTTGAGACAGTCGAATCAATTACAGCAGCAATCTCAAGTTTGGAAGCCTGGCAACCAATCACGATCTAATGCTCATAGACCACCACAATCTAATACTGCAGCAGTAGCTTCATCAAATCCTATCACTGATCCTAGTACTTTGGCTGAGCAATTTCAGAAGTTTCTCTCCTTATAACCTCAAGCTATGTCTGCTTCTTCCATAGGTCAGTTGCCTTATAGTTCTTCAGGTATGTCACATTCTATATGGGTCTTGGATTCTGGTGCTTCACATCATATGTCTTCAAATTCTTCATCTTTTGCTTCTGTGTCCCCTTCGTCCTCTATTGCTGTCATGACTGCTGATTGCACTCCTATGCCATTAGCAGGTGTTGGTTTTGTTGTCACACCTCACTTGTCCCTCCCTAGTGTTTATCATATTCCGAATCTCACATTAAATCTTGCTTCCGTTGGTCAGTTATGTGATTCTGGTAATTTAGTCACATTTTCCTCTTCTTCTTGTTATGTGCAGGATCTGCAGTCTCAAAAGCTGATTGGGACAGGCCGTAGGAAGGGTGGACTATATATTTTGGATGAGCTAAAAGTGCCAGTTGCTGCTGCCGCTACTAGTGTTGATTTGTCTTCGTTTCGTTTGAGTCCTTCTTCTTCTAGTTTTTATTTATGGCATTCTCGTCTAGGTCATGTTTCGTCATCTCGTTTGAGATTTTTAGCTTCTACAGGGGTTTTAGAAAATTTACACCCTTGTGATATTTCTGATTGTAGTGGATGCAAACTGACAAAATTTTCAGCTTTACCTTTTAATCGAAGTATTTCTATTTCTTCTTCCCCATTTGATTTAATTCATTCTGATATATGGGGGCCTTCTCCTGTTGCCACAAAAGGAGGGTCTCGATATTATATTTCTTTTATTGATGATCACACTCGTTATTGTTGGGTTTATTTAATAAAATATCGTTCTGAATTTTTTGAGATATACTTAGCATTTCGTGCTTTTGTTAAAACTCAACATTCTGCTGTTATAAAATGTTTTAGGTATGATTTGGGTGGAGAATACACTTCTAATAAATTTTGTGAGCTGCTTGCTTTAGATGGAACTATTCACCAAACTTCGTGTACATATACTCCTGAGCAAAATGGTGTTGCTGAAAGAAAACATAGGCACATTTTTGAAACTGCTCGTTCTCTCTTGTTGTCTGCATCTGTCCCTAGTGTGTTTTGGGGTGAAGCTGTTCTTACTGAATTTTGTGAGCTGCTTGCTTTAGATGGAACTATTCACCAAACTTCTTGTACAGATACTTCTGAGCAAAATGGTGTTGCTGAAAGAAAACATAGGCACATTGTTGAAACTGCTCGTTCTCTCTTGTTGTCTGCATCTGTCCCTAGTGTGTTTTGGGGTGAAGCTGTTCTTACTGCTGTAGGTTTGATTAATACAATTCCATCTTCTCGTATTTCAGGGTTTTCTCCTTTTGAAAAGTTGTATGGGTATACCCCTGATTATTCTCTCTTTAGAGTTTTTGGTTGTACTTGTTTCGTTCTTCGTCCTCATGTAGAACGCAACAAGTTGTCATCTCGATCTGCAATTTGTGTTTTTCTTGGTTATGGTGAAGGTAAAAAGGGGTATCGTTGTTTTGATCCAATAACTCAGAAACTTTATGTGTCTCGTCATGTTGTTTTTCTCGAGCATATACCTTTCTTTTCTATTCCATCCACTACTCATAGTCTGACTAGATCTGATCTTATTCGTATAGATCCTTTTTCTGACAATCCTGATAGTTTGTCTTCTCAGGAGCCTACTACTTCAAATGTCCATTCTCATGTTCCTACCCCGTAGTCTTTACAACCAACTCGTACTAATCATTCCGCAGGTACTGACATTTTACTCTCCGGCACACCTGAAGCGTCCTCTTCTCCTATGGTCCCTCAAGCTCCGTCTGAGATTGTGGATCCGCCTCTACGTCAATCCATACGCATTCGTAAGTCTACAAAGTTACCAGATTTTGCTTATTCTTGTTATTCTTCATCATTTTCTACCTTTTTAGCTTCTATTCATTGTCTCTGTGAGCCCTCTTCCTATAAAGAGGCAATTCTTGATCCTCTTTGGCAGCAAGCTATGGATGAGGAACTTTCTGCTTTGCATAAGACTGGTACTTGGGATTTGGTTCATTTACCTTCTGGTAAGAGTGTTGTTGGTTGTCGTTGGGTGTATAAGATCAAGACTAATTCTGATGGGTCAATTGAGCGATACAAAGCTAGGTTGGTTGCAAAGGGATACTCTCAACAGTATGTTATGGATTATGAGGAGACATTTGCTCCTGTTGCAAAAATGACTACTATTCGTACTCTTATTGCAGTAGCTTCGGTTCGTCAGTTTTGTTAAGAGCACTGATGCAGGTCGTATCATTCTATCTTTATATGTTGATGACATGATTATTACTGGTGATGATATTGATGGTATTTCAGTTTTGAAGACAGAGTTAGCTAGACAGTTTGAAATGAAAGATTTGGGTTCTCTACGATATTTCTTGGGTATTGAGGTAGCCTTCTCACCCAGAGGTTATCTTCTTTCTCAGTCGAAATATGTTGCAGATATTCTTGAGCGGACAAGACTTACTGATAATAAGATTGTTGATACTCCAATTGAGGTTAACGCGAAGTATTCTTCTTCTGACAGTTTACCTTTGTCAAATCCTACTTTATACCGTACTATTGTTGGGAGCTTGGTATATCTCACTATTACTCGTCCAAATATTGCATATGCTGTTCATATTGTTAGTCAGTTTGTTGCTTCTCCCACTACAGTTCATTGGGCAGCTGTTCTTCGTATTTTGCGATATCTTCGGGGTACAGTCTTTCAGAGTCTGTTACTTCCATCCACCTCCTCCTTGGAGCTGCGTGCATACTCTGATGCTGATCATGGCAGTGATCCCACAGATCGCAAGTCTATTACTGGTTTCTGTATCTTTTTGGGCGATTCTCTTATTTCTTAGAAAAGCAAGAAACAATCTATTGTTTCTCAATCTTCCACCGAAGTAGATTATCGTGCTATGGCATCTACTACTAAAGAGATTGTTTGGTTACGTTGGTTACTTGCAGATATGGGAGTTTTTCTTTCTCATCCCACTCCTATGTATTGCGACAACCAAAGTTCTATTCAGATTGCTCACAACTCGATTTTTCATGAACGAACTAAGCACATTGAGATCGATTGTCATCTTACTCGTCATCATCTCAAGCATGGCACAATTACTTTGCCCTTTGTTTCTTCTTCTTTGCAGCCTGCAGATTTTTTTACCAAGTCGCATTCAGTTTCTCGGTTTCGCTTTCTAGTTGGCAAATTCTCGATGCTTGTAGCTGCCGCATCGTGAGATTGAGGGGAGATGTTAAGAAATATAGAATTATTTATTAATTATTAAGGGTAGAATAGTTCTTTTTAATTTCCTTTGTTTAGCTTATATATATTCTCTTTGTATTTAGGTTAAACCATCTTTTAGCATTCAATTAATTAATGTAGTACCAATGAAACCCTAGCCTCCTCCTTTTTCTTTATTTTTCTTTTGGATTGTTTAACATATTTATCTAAAGTATTCTATGCGAATGATTGTGTTGAAATGTCAAATCTACTTATTACTATTCTATTTTCAGTTCTCGACCTATATAATTGAGTGTGATCTATTTATTTATAACAATCGATAATCCAATTTCTTTTGAATATCCATAATTCAAATTTTTTTTTAACTATCTTTCCAGCAATAAGTTAAAACCTATTCTAAGTATGATCCGATCCTATCCCACTCCTAATGCAAATTCACGTACAAAGTAACATGTTCAATTACATGATTATCTATATGATTGTACACGTCATACATGTTATTTATAACATCTCTTGCCTGTGTGTTGAAATTACAAAGTTCTAAATATAATGAAAATCTTCAAGCACTACAACAATTGAATAATGACTTAATTGGTGATCAAGCACTTAACTAATTCAACAAAGCATACGAGATTAATCAAGAATACAACTTAACCTAAAGTACTTGGTCTTTGAAATCTATCCTAGCATGTTTCAAAAGGAAAAACACAAAAGAATTGGAAAATCATCGCCCTAAATTTATAAATACAAGAAAAAGATGTGAAATCTATTTCTTGTTCTGGATCTTCAATCTCAAGATTTGATTCTTCAAGTTCTTGATGTTTGTTGATGTAGATTCATTACGAATTTTGTTTTTCTCTCTAACTTATGATGAAATTGCCCCTTGTTCTTGAAAAATTTTATGACATGAATTGAAATGAGAGGTGATAGATTTTTCAATGTTTAGCCCTTGTCTTGTAATTATACGTAACGAAATCAGGTTAAAGAAACGTATCCAATTTGGATTCTAAAATAGTTTGTATAGGGAAAAAAAATAAAAAAAAAGTTGTTGTTAGGCAATTTTTGTTGTCAAACGACCTCCCCGGGCGATGATGTAACCTCGGTTGTTTATTATCAATCGGCCTCGGCCTAATGATTGATTAGCACATCGACACAATTAACGAGACAACACAATCCATTTTGTTATGGACCGTTCGAAGTAACCTATTTTATAGTGTTGCTCACGGTTCTCGCACCATTCCTTGGAAGGCTATGTTATTATTGTTGAGGCCCAATTATTTGAGCCGAGCCTTTGATCCACCACTTAGCCCTAATTGGAACTTACCTTGTTTGGACAATACTCTTGGCATATATTCCTCTCAACCTCTCGGCCTCCATTTTAGAGTGAAAAACCCTCTTTGTGAGCCCCTCTCTCTCGGCCGTTTCTTCCCTTCCCTCTCTGTGACCTTTGTGGTTGATATATTGTGGGTATTTTCTTGGCCTTCTTCTTCCCAAATCCATAGCAACCGGACCGTGGTGGCACAAGGTGGTATTGGAGTTGTCTCAAGAAATGGTGTCGATATTTTTGGTAAACTGAGCCCGGTTTTGCACTGCTTGGCTGTGGAATTCGATCCTACAGTTGGCTTAACCGACAAAATTCGGTCCATGCCCACGTATGGCACCTCTGCTTGCCCATGCATTAACAAGTGAAATTTGGCTCTGAGTGGTAAAAAAAAGGCCCTTGTGCGAGTAAGAAAATTCTTTTTTGCTTCACTTTCATTTTATTCTTGTCCAATTGATTCCATAAGATTTTTGATCCCTGATTTGTAATTCGAATCAACTATTGATTATTTTTATTTTGGTCCCCAAATTTTGAGAATTCTTCATCTTTGCCGATTTTCATTCATTCCTTCCAATTTTAAGTCTAATCATTGAGTTTTACCTTAAAAATAATATATACCCAAGACTAGGCCACAATTAATCGTAAAAATACTTAAATATCTATATTTAAAGGTTAATATTTAAAGGTCTAGAAAAGTGTATAAGATATTTATACTTTTATCAAGCATCATATGTGGGGGATATCATATTCCTGTATGTTAATAAAAATTGAGGCCCACGTTAAACCCTCTTGATATTCTATTCTATTTTACTTTATTTTCTATTTTTATGAAAGATTTGTTTACAAAATTCACCTCTACAAAGAATTTTTTGTTCAACAAGATGTTGAGTGATCATACGAATTCCAGCAAGTACAGGTATCATGGACAAGCAATATAATAATGAATAAAGTAAAGTTCACAAGGACAATATATTGGTCTAGATTCAATTAATTCCAGCTCTAATCGAGTAGTCAATTTGTATGAAAATTCATTCAAATTAACTAATTAAACAAATTATTCTAATGAGCAAATTATGAAAGTTTTTGCAAATTTTGATGAGATGATTACTAAGATTTCGAATCTTATTATTTCATTTTAATACAATCCAATATCATGACAATATGTATGTATTCTTGTTGATCAATGTTCCAAATTTATTTAATAATCTCTCTAGTAGAATTAAATTAATCTTCCCATGTGACCTTCCTCTGTCTCTATGAAAGATACATATATGAAAGTATACATTAAAAATATTCGAACCTCTTGAAGTCATCGAAAGCATAACGGTCAATCTCTATCTTTTTTCGGACCTCACAACTGTTATAAGTACAATATATCTTATTGGTCCTCTCGATAACAATAAAACTCTCAAATCAATCCAATTAGTGATTAGGTAATTAAAAGGCATTAAATATTATAACAATTATCCAAGAAATCAGGCATTTTTGGCATCAAAATATTGAACTTATATTAAAAAATCATAATAAGGTATATAAGGTGAAATTATGCCAAAAATGTCCTGATTAGGTTTCAAAAGAGTTCCAATAGAAAAAGAAAATTGTGTTCGCTTCATGCATGGTTGTCACTATGCGACCATCAGTATTTTTATCGTACATTTATCTTCAATATTTGATTGGGGCGATTCAAGTGCATTGAAAAGATAATTCAAAGGGCTACATTTATCTTATAAATATAATTTTTCCACTTTGAATGTTAATTATATCAAAAATGGGTCTCAACTTCCAATTGAGAATCTGGATTAATGAAAATTAGATGTAGCAATGGGTCCGATTGAGTTGAGCTGAGCCAGTTCGGGCCTATTACCCATGAGATTGGCTCATCTCTCAAGGGCTCCTGAGCTCGTGGCTCATGGGATGAGCCAAGCTTGGCCCACAAGCTCGAAAATTTTTTAAACCATATTCCTTTTTGGGATATGCTACTTATTTTCAAGTTGATGAAGTTAAAATTGTACACAAATAAATTGTTACATGTACAATTTCTTTTAAAGTCAAGTCTTTGAAAACAAAGAATCCTCAAATAACAGGCATCATTAGTGAAGCGCATTTTTAATTTTCGGAGGTTTGATTTCAAAAAAAATTTGAATTAAGATTTGAAAATGGATTTGATATTCTTTTTATAATTTTATTTTGAAATCATTGATTCTTTTATAAAGAGCTGGGACCAGCTACTTAAATTTTGAGTAAGTGGAATTAAAATTGTATATGAACATCTTATGACGTGTACAATTTTTTTAAAAATTATAATATTATTAAGAAAATAAGAAAGTTTAATTATATGAAACTATGACGAAATTAAATATCATTTACTTGATTACACGTAATTTTCTCATACTTATGTTGTATTAAAATGAGTGTCTTGTCATTCTTTTTTTGCACATCAATGCTTCTAAAATATATTCTTTTAGTTGGCTTCTGACGTCGAAAGCAGTTCACTTTCCTATACTAAAAGCAGACTCTAAAGTTACAATGCTAATTGGAGGTGTTAATTGATCTTTTGTAATAACAGAAACAACAGTGTATTTTCGTTCATTCTTTCACAAAAAATCAAGTAAATCAAATTGTGTTGTATCAATAAGTTCTATGCTCCTAGCATTTTATGATTAAAACATAACTAAATTAGCAGGCATTTCAATAGAACTTGCATCCGATGTCGAATAATACGCTATAGACATAAGAAGAATTTCCTATATCATATCTTTCATCCCTTATGCGTTCAAATAAATCACTAGTTCTACATTGTCTTCTTCAAGATTAATAGAAAAGATGGGTGCGGAGGGTGCCGACTATTATTTGCACGAATCGCTGTGCACACAATTTATACATAGAAGCTAAAGGTTTTTTCTATATTTGAATAAGTGATAGGTTGTTCAAAATTAATGAGTTTGTGATTTTTTGGATAACATATTTAGTGTGTCTTGAATTGTACCATGGGTTGAATATGCTTACCAAACGAAATAATATAGGCAAGTTTTCCTAGTATTTTCTAAACTTCAATTCCATAAATACAATATTTCAAGAAAGCGAGATCATTTTTGTGTTTTTCAAAAGTTCTTGCAATGACAAAAAGATGTTCAAGAACTTTTGAACTAGTGGGGTACTATACATAGATAAGACTAGTTCTCAATCGAAATAGAATCATTATCATTTCTTACTCAATAATTAAATGTTCATATTCTTCACATAATTTTAATAATAAGTAAGTGAAATTCCATCTGTATTCTGCGCACTACGTTGAC